AAATAGTAGATAAATACAAATATTTGGGCGTATAGAATAAATAACGGGGCTGAGTATGTAGGGGAACACAAAAGATACGTAATTAACTAAGGGCACCAGGAATGCAGCTGTAATGAAAAATTAAGGCACTGTGGAAAACAATAGATATGACGTTGTGAGAGGGATTTGGAAAGGTCATGGTCCCGGGTTTGACGTTCGTCAATGCGGTCTTGTGCATGAAATCAGAAGTACAAGCAATATTGGAAATTAAGCAACGTGGTATGAGTAGAATTGCTTTGGGAGCACACGGGAATACCCCAAATCAGGGGATACAAGGTGGCATGGGATGCACATCGTTTGAGTGCAGGGAAGCTAGCACTCAAACGATGAGTGCGATTGAGAAAAATAGGAGAGCAGCGTTGGGCTAGGAAAGTTTTCAGGTACTTGTGCATGAAGAATGTTGATACTAAATGGAGGAAGCGAACTCGAAAATTATCAAGCAAGTATTTAGACAACAGCAGAATACCACGCCAAAAGGAAACATTGGTTAAGAAGAAGGTGAAGGAAACAGAGAGGGACCTGGGGAAGATGGGCATGCTTACGAAATCATCACTGGAGACCTGCCTAACTTTTAAGCAAGAAATTGCAAGGAAAAATCTACGATAATTCTCGGGGTAGTTCTCTGCTCTTCGAGGCTAGAACGGGAGTATTGTGGACCAAGATGTACCAAGCAAAATACGAAGGCACAGACACTGTATGTAGTGCGTAAGGAGGGGAGGAGGAAACAGCTGAACATTTGATAATGTTCTGTAAAGGGCTTCGCCCTATAGTCGAAGATGATGGCGCTGAATTTTTCATAGCATTGGGGTTTAGGGAGAGTGAAGGCAAAATACTTTAAACGGGTAGAAATAACCAGGAGGAGGCTAACGGATTGATGGCTGCAATCGAGGCGCGAGTGAAATTCTTTATGATTAGGTGGCGTGAACCACCACCCGATCTGAAGGGCACAGCCGGATACATCCATCTATCTATCCATCCATCTTCGACCTCGTTATCATTGGTCTTGTGGAACGACTACCAAGCATGGTCAAGCTATATATGTATGCTGACGGATTCTGCATCTGGGCTTCTGGCGTGACAAGGCACCAGGTACGCGCAAGACTTCAGAAAGCTGCGACGTTGGTATCAGTTTACCTCAGTGAACAGGGTCTGAAGATCTCACCATCGAAATGCGCATTGATTGCTTTTAGTCGAAAGCCAATGAGACCATACGCTATATCTATCGACGGCCAAGACATACCGAATGCCTGTACGCACAGATTTCTAGGCGTATTATTGGAGAGGCCTCTGCTGGGGCCCACATGTGGCCCACTTGAAGAAGAGGCTGACAGACATTGCTAACTTATTCAAGTATCTTGGAGGGAAAACCTGGGGGACTTCAGTACATACAATGATGCAATTGTACAAGACTCTTTTTCTCTGCTATTTGTGATACAACTTGCCTGTGTTGACCAATACTTGCCGAACCAGCATTCGCACTCTAGAAAGCATTCAGGCTATGGCTCTGCGAGTTTGTCTGGGGCTACCGCGATGTCCGTCAACAGCTGATACAATTGCGATCACAAATGACTACCCACTCAAGACGCATATTGTAATGGAAGTGCTCAGAGCACACGTGAGGTATCTCACTCGTGCCCCTGACCATCATCTAGCCTCACAGCCAGAAGACCGACCTCGTGCCTCACTTTGCAAGACAGTCTTGACAGTATCGTACACGCATGCCCAAAGGTAATATACAACTCCGTCCAGAATTGCAACTCCCCATGGTGCATGACTCATCCACGTGTTGAACTCATGGTTCCAGGCATATGGTCAAAAGCTCGGCTATCATCCTCAGCGCTAAAGCAGCTCTCTCTTCTCTTGTTGTATAAGAAGTACAGTGACCATAACCATTTATCTACTGACGCTTCTGCTAAAGTAGATGGGTCTGTAGTGTCAGTGATCTTGCCTGCAACAGCGACAACGACGAAGTTTCGGTTATCTCACCAGACGTCATCGACAGCTGCTGAGCTTGCTGCTCTACGTAGCGCAGTTAAAGTCGTTAAACACCAAGAAGCCAAGAAATGGAGCGTGTTCACGAACTCCAAGGCAACACAACAGTGTTTAGTGTTCGCCTTACGCCGGGACCTCATGAACAACTAGTGTTGGAAATTAGAGTTACTTCACCACCCCTTCGACGAAGGACACGAATTCACGTTTCAGTGGCTTCAAAGTCACTGCGGCATACTGGGCAACGAACATGCCGATGCAGCTGCTCGATCAGCACACGAAGATGTTGCAGAATCCATTCCATTTTCAAGGACTAGTGCTGCAATCAAAATCCAAAAAATCGCGAATGAATAAGTAGAATTCCCGTGGAACGCTGAGTGCTTACGGCACACGCGACTGCATAGGCTGGACGCGTCTCGTCGACTTCGGACTCCGTCCGGACTATCTCGACTTGAGACAACTGGTGTTTTGCCGACTGTGGCTTGGTGTCGCATTTGCCAAAGTTTTCGCCTTCCGAATCGGCATGAAAGACAGTGCTGCTTGCTATCCATTGCGACAGCGATTAAACGATAGAGCACGTTCCCTGTCACTGCCCTCGTTGCATCGTGCAAAGACGACAGCTAGCTGCTGCGTTAGCTCGTCTTGACGACAGACCCTTGTCAGCACAGCCAGTGCTTGAAAGGCGACATAATCTGTCTTCGCACAGAAAATTAGTGAAGGTCTTATTGAACTTTTTGCGTGATAGTGGCCTCTTTAACAGGCTATAGCACCCCAGCTTATTTTTGTCTTTTCTATTTCGCGCGTCTATTTCGCTCGTCGCTTTTTCCCATCTTTATTCCCCATTATTCCTTCCCTTAGTACAGGGTAGCAAACCGGATGCTCCAATTTCTGGTTAACCTTCGTGCCTTTCCCTCATTTTATTTTCTCTCCCTCCGCAGCGCGAGTTGTTGCCTATGTTATAATTGCACGAACATTGCCGCTGAGGGAATGTGTCCCCGTGTCTATAACTAGTTTGAGACACTTAGATTCAACAGGAACACCCGTTATCACCAGAAAGGGGCATAGAAATAATAATTTTTACAGTACAGGGTTACGCCTCTCGTAACGTGTTTCCTATATTAGTCCTGTGCAGTATCCTTGCCTGCACTGCTTACCCTTCATAGCAGAAGGTGTGTGCCTCTCAACGACATAGTTCTTTATTTCATCAAAAAGAAGCAAGAGATAAAGAAGAAAAACGAGCTAAAACTATTTTAATTTCGTTCCACAGATGTGCCCGATTGAATGATTGATTGTGCCAGAACCAAGGAAGAAGTCGTAGTGTATCCACCGGTTCGACATCGTTTCTTATTATATGAGAGGAAAGAATCGTTTTAAGAAAGCTTAAGCTGTACGACACGAGCAAGAAATTTTAGTGGGGTCGTAGCTGTCGCATTCACTCATGTCGTACGGATGCTTAGTTCCACTACATGACATCTTTTACGCCTGTTGCAGCAACACCTCCCCTTATACTTAACCTCGCTCTCAAGATTATGAAGTAGATTTTACTTTCTATGTGTCTATCACAGCCAATGCTGATAGGATTCATCGTGGCGGCCGCAGCTCTATTACAGGCTTTCAATCAATGGAACGATGGAGCAACCTTTTTATTTATTGATTGGTGTAAATTGCTTCTTTTGCATAACATTGAGAAGACGACCAAGTCATAACGAAGTTCGTTACCACAAAGGCTTTCCACCAAATCAACCATGAATATCGGTGTCCCCAGTGATCGAAGACACGATATATCCGCAGTGCCTTACGATCGATCAGTCGCTTCACTTCAAAACGAAAGAAGCGAGGGGCTGGGTTAGAGGAACGGAACGACATTGAGTATACCCACGTTAAGAGCTAAGAAAAGGAGAGCACCGTCTCATCCTATTTCCGCTTGCTTCGTTCTGAAAGACATCGAACATTTATGACGACCAACTTTTAAGCCGGTTCTCATCAGACACGCCGGATTAGACGCCGGTCGCCTTTGCTGAGCCGTGCAGTTGTTGGACGCGTTTGTGCGGGACGTCAGCAGCTCTGTTTTTCATGCTGTTTGTATACAACGGCATGCAGCGCATGACTGCTGCGAAGGAATTTACTTGGCGACGCGAATCTCGCGAACAACGGACTTCTTAAGACATTCATGAGCAGCATTCGATGCTGGAAATAAACGGACCACTTCATCGTCTTTTTGACGGTGATTGTTGCAGAAAGATGGCTGAGCACGAGAGCTTTGTAATAATCATTGCTGGAGGATGACTAAGTGTGCCGCCGTTTCAAGTACAATAAAGAATTTACGTCAACCGTGACGGATGAGGAAGCTTCCGTGGCACGACATATTTTTTAAAGAAATGTCATGTCTTTATTGGTGTTATCTTAATATGCTCACGCTGTGCCCCTAATAATCTCTCCCTCTCACATTCCCAAACTGTGGCCCGGAGTCGTCCTTTTCATTGGATTAAAGATTCCCTTCATTCATTCATTCATTCATTCATTCATTCATTTGTACACTGCTTGAAACATAAGTCTTGATTATCGAAGTGCATGAAGTCTGGGATTTCCCCCCCCCCAATTCATTTGCCTCTCGATGCAATTGGCGATGCGATAAGTATTATTATTATGATTTATTATTATTCTTATTATATTATTATTATGATTATTTATTACTTGAGTATTATTATACCGAGTTCCTGAGTCCTTCTCTGCATAAATAAACCTTTTTTTTTAATTCGGAAAGAGCGATGCAGAGAAAGATTGTAATAAAAACAGTGCGTGTTCGTTTTTTAACTGGGAGTCTGTGAGTCAGTACGTTTCGTCTAACAGGTCGGTCATTGTGTAGCTGCAATGTATCCCTTAATTGTTCATGTTAACAGGCTTTTCTCGGCGAAAAGTATTGCTAACAGTCTCGCACTGGTCCTTGCCTTTTACGCCTCGACATTGCGCAGTGCGCATTCGTCGAGTGTGTACAGCAAAGACAGCCCAGAAGCAATGGACACGTCGCGGAGCCTGCTGCTGAGCCTCGTCGCTCTGGCCCTGCTGGGATCCTCGGTGACGTCAGCCTTCTACCGAGGAAGGCCGGGAAGCAGCTTGGCGCTGGCCAAGAGGCTGGAGACTGAGCTCGCCGAGGACGAAGAGTACACCGCGCTGCCCGGTAAGCGTTCCACCATTTGTTCTTCAGCTCACATCCTCAGTCCACTCTTGAGGCCACATCCGTCCGGCTCTTGAGCGCACGACCCCGCTCGAGAAAAACTGATATTTATTTTGTTGCCCCCTTTTCACCGCTTAATATTATTATTATTAATGTATTCCTGTCTTCCCGTCCCCAATGCCCTTCCTCAAGCACAGTAGCAAGTTTACGTCGGCTAAAGTCCCTGCCTTTCAATGAACAGTTCTTATTTTCCATCTCTCCATTAATAGCCCAGGAAAGCTTCGAAACGCTAGTAGGTTCATATTAACTATTAAGTACTGCCTATGCTAAAAATTGTGATAAAATAAAATGCATGAATATTTTTGTATTTTGACTTGACTATCTTTTTCTAGTGATGCCTCGTACAGAACACAACCAAAATATTCATCATACTTACCGGTGCCTCTATAGGACATTTTGTATATGACGCTTCGTAATAATTTGATTTGATAGTTAGACGATGGGCTTGTGAGGACAGCCCATCCACTTTAACCAACATTAGCTAGTGAGGGTGGCTCATGACTGGCACTGGCCTTCAACTTGCCTGTCAATGGTGTTTGAGTAAAATACTAATCGCGAACAATTGCACTCCTCTAACTGTGTTCACTGCATGCCACCGCAGGTGCCTTGGAAGCCTTCGAGTGGCGCTCCCGGTTCCCCGCAGTGGCGCCGGCGGACATTAGTGGCTTCTACCCTTTCTTCAGGCCCACGTCCCTCGCCAAGAAGAACAAGGACGCGCCGCGGTCTATAGACCCGGCCGCCGCTGCGAACCGCAAGTTCCAGACGCAGGGATGGAGGCGCTGATCGCCAGGACGAGACACTACTGGACACTGAGACATTAAAGCTCACGTTTGGTCGTTTGTTGTGGGATAAAGATATCTGTTTTCTCGGTTTCCATTGCTGAGAATCGCCGAATAGCAGGCTCTCATCGCCAGCGTAAGGCAGAAAGATGGAGATCTATCTGCGTTTCCAACAGGAAAGGAAGATCTTCAGTTATTTTTCAATGTAAATGTACGGGACTGAATAGTAGTCCTGCAGTAGGGTTGTTTTTCACTACTTCCCAAAGTAGGAACACAATTCTCCTCCCTCTCTTGTATTGTCTAGCTCTAGCAATATAGTTTTTTTTTTCGGTAATTCCGACCCCTAAAGATGCTGAGACGTGTTTCCTCTAAAGACTCCATACATTTTTTATTCATTCGTCTCAGGTCATTTTACATTATGCACTCCATTTTCGTGTCCAGGGTACGGCTGATACATTTTCTGGCATGTATCAGCAATATCCGATTTAGAATAAAGGGATGGCAAGGTAAGTTCTAACTATAGGTGCGGTTCGCGCGCAATCACCCTCTATTGTAGCAAGCGTGTGTACCCTGCTTCACAATTTCATGCTCACAAGAATTTTGTCGCATCATCATTCTCTCACATAATCGAAACAAGAATATTCATTTGCAAGCTCGGAGTGATAAAAGCAATGAAGTGAAATTTTCGGTCGAAGTTACATTAAAGCACAGTGCACATGTCTTCTGCTTCATAAGTGTTGGTATAGCCAGAGTCCTTCAAAAGGACTCTGGTATAGCCTAAGTGATTAGAACGCACTTCTTCTATATTTTGCCTCCAATCTATTTCATCACTTTTTGCACTTCAAATTTCCTCATAGCGGGTTCTGGGGTGGAGCTAAAACCAAAGCTATAGAACATGCGCCGGGAAAGGGATCCGTGGATCTACGAGGGCTAGCGTGACTTAGTTGGCGTAGTTTGTTGCCCTCTTACCCTACGTAACATCCAAGGCGCGCAACGAGTCGTCCAGTACAGATGGCCCGTAACAGCTTGTGACTTTTGGAAACCGTGATTGTGAGCCACCGGCGTATAAATAGAAACCCAGGGATTCGTAACTCCTGCTCAGCACACTCGAAGCTTGGGCATGACATCAAACGCCTGCTTTTCGCTCGATGAGGCATTCGAACATCTTGCTTTAAAAGATCGTCATGCTTGTCGTCCACGTCTTTGACAAAAATACGAAAATCGCATCAGGAGACCATCGAAACACCCACTTCTAAGCTGTAATCTTCCTGGTGTCTACAAACTTCTATGCCGGCTTTACATGTCAAACTGGAGGTGACTTCCATTCCACTATAGCACAATACTTCAACCACGACCTATTAGCAAATCTTCTATTTTGCTTTTCTTTCTATTTTATTGCTGGTGCGAGACATTCACCAGGTTGAGATACACTGGCACTCTGCCCAGGTCGGCGTTCAGCCCATTCGTTAGGGTATTCGCTTGCGGCGCGTGAGGTCATAGGTTCGATAGCAAATGCCGTCGTAAACAGTACTTTTTACTTCCCCAGAGGGATTTTTCTTGCCTGACACAGGGACGGAAACACAGACGGCAGTCTCATTAAGTCTGCCTAGAAATCGTTAGAACTTCAAAAAACTCCAGTACTGGATGCTGCTTTATACTGCATCAAAACTATCCCCATTTCAATGTAAGAAACTAGACGTGCGCCTAGTTAACCTCTCTGCCTTTCAATACATCCCTCTTTATATGATGTACACATCAAAATCACACAGAAAAATTATAAACCTTACCTGAATGTTCTCGGGTAAGAAATCTATGAGATGACAAGCAAACTTCCTTTAATCGAACAAACATATTCATACCTCCAATCTCTGTGGTGATGATGATGATGCTGCTGCCGCCGCTGACGCCGACGACGACGACGACGACGACGATGATGATAGGTGGCTGTTCCCTCAAAGCGGGTGGCCGCAGGTACTGTGGCCGTGCCGGGTCAAAAAGAGAAAAAGAGAAAAAAAAGGGAGATAGATAGCGACGAACACACACGAACACATACGTTTAGCGCTGGTGCGACCTCTTTCTCACTTTTTATGCACTTTTCATGCACTTCCATGCACTTAAAGCTGAATGCTGTGCCAGCGTGCGTGTATAGCCACTTGCCTTCGGACTCGGCGGTCTCTGGGTCAAAGCTGGCTTCACCAAGGGTGTTTATTTTGCTTTATTTGTTTTAGGGGCGAAGCTCCTTAGGGCGTGGGCTGTGCGTCCCCTGTAGCCTGTATGTAGCCACCTCTAGTTTAGTTCTTGCAGTGTTCACTAGATGGCGGTACCGTCCCCTGTATGTAGCCACCTCTAGTTTAGTTCTTGCAGTGTTCACTAGATGGCGGTACCGTCTCCTGTATGTAGCCACCTCTCGTTTAGTTCTTGTAGTGTTTACTAGATGGTGGTACTTGTAGCTGATGATGAAAAGATGCAAGATGTTATAAACTAGAAAGCGGTACTTGTAGTTGATGAAAGACGCGAGATCTTATAAAATAGGAATGATGTCACATATGGCGCGTGTCATTGGTTGAAGGCAATCGTTCGATTTAGTGCGGCGACGTACGCTAGGGGGAGCGTTGTAATAAAATCCGTTCGCTGTTGGCGCGCGCTCGGAGTCGCTGGATGGATAAGGCTGCACAGCGGAGAGAGCGCAAGGCGGCAGCAGCGCGCGCTCGCAGACAGAATCCCGATGTGCGAGCGCGCGAGGCAAGGGACATCACAAGCCATCCATCGTCTAAGAACAAATAAAAGTTGATTTCTGTATATACACACACAGCGTTTCTCACGTCTTTACATGATGATCGACTGGGCGAATTACACGGAAGATTCACAGTTTACCGATGAATCCCTCCGGAGCTTCGCCCATTCATCATCATTCACCCCGTGAATATGCCGTAATTTTTTTATTCACTTTCTCTATCGTCAGAGCTCCTCTAGACCCTCGATCACCTGACTTTCTCTCGTTTCATCCTCTCCGAGGCTCCACCGAGGCCTTTTAACGTGATCGTCGATACAGTGCATTCATGTGCTACCCATAATTCTCGCTGTGCATGTTTGCTGTGTAGACAACGATTAATGCACTCGATTTCGGCCCTTGATCTTCCGGAGTCAAAATTCGCCGGAGAATGGGTGCGTGTTTTGCTTTAATATCTTTTTATTCCCTCTCCTCCATCGGTGACACCTCCTCTCCGTGTCGATACCCTGGACCTCTTCCTCTCACGAGTCTCCTTCACCATTCTTGCGTGACTGTCGATACAAAGCAGTAATAACAATACAAGCCCTATCCAAACCATACACTGTGTGTTTAGATAAAAAGGGTAACGATTTCGAGGACTTGGTACTCTACCGCTAAACATGTGTTTAGAAAATGTGGTTAACAATGTAGAGTACTGGGTACTCTACAATGGGAGAGCATAAAGCCGTCCCATGCATGAGCTGCATAAGAACACTTGAGACTTTTGTCATTAGTTCATCCTTGGCCAAAAAGGTAAGCTTAAAGCTTTAGGACTCATCCATTCTTGCATTTATTGAATGTTCTATTCCGTTTGAAAAAAAAAGCTCATTATGGGTGCATATTGCAAGAATGGTCCTCCAATGCATGATAAAGTATTCCTGGCATGAAGCGTTTGCTTCACCGCAGTACACGTCGAAAAGTCACCGAAAATTTTGAGGTCTTTATCACGCATGATAAGGCTCGACTTTTGTCTGACGTCACGCCTTGCAACAATAGGCATGTAACGCGCAGAAAAGTATCCCTCCAAGCTAACTCTTCTCCTGAATAGTTTGCTTCCCCTCAGTAAAAGTCGAAAAGCAGTCGAAAAAGTTGGGGCCCTTATCACGCATGATAAGGCTCAACTTTTGTCTGACGCCACGCCTTCAAATGAAAGACACGCAACGCGTATAAGTTCATGCCTCCGAGCTGACACTTCTCCTGAATAGTTTGCTTCACCACAGTAAAAGTGGAAAAGCAGTCGAAAAAGTTGGGGCTCTTATCACGCACGATAAGGCTCAACTTTTGTCTGACGCCATGCCTTCAAATGAAAGACACCCAACGCGTATAAGTGCATACCACAGAGCTGACACTTCTCCTGATTAGTTTGCTTCACCGCAGTAAAAAATGAAAAGCAGTCGAAAAAGTTGGGGCCCTTATCATGCATGATAAGGCTGAACTTTTGTCTGACGCCATGCCTTCAAATTAAAGACACCCAACGCGTATAAGTTCATGCCTCCGAGCTGACACTTCTCCTGAATAGTTTGCTTCACCGCAGTAAAAGTGGAAAAGCAGTCGAAAAAGTTGGGGCCCTTATCACGCATGATAAGGCCCAACTTTTGTCTGACGTCACGCCTTGCAACAATAGGCATGTAACGCGCAGAAAAGTATTCCTCCAAGCTAACTCTTCTCCTGAATAGTTTGATTCCCCTCAGTAAAAGTCGAAAAGCAGTCGAAAAAGTTGGCCACCTCTAGTTTAGTTCTTGCAGTGTTCACTAGATGGCGGTACCGTCTCCTGTATGTAGCCACCTCTCGTTTAGTTCTTGTAGTGTTTACTAGATGGTGGTACTTGTAGCTGATGATGAAAAGATGCAAGATGTTATAAACTAGAAAGCGGTACTTGTAGTTGATGAAAGACGCGAGATCTTATAAAATAGGAATGATGTCACATATGGCGCGTGTCATTGGTTGAAGGCAATCGTTCGATTTAGTGCGGCGACGTACGCTAGGGGGAGCGTTGTAATAAAATCCGTTCGCTGTTGGCGCGCGCTCGGAGTCGCTGGATGGATAAGGCTGCACAGCGGAGAGAGCGCAAGGCGGCAGCAGCGCGCGCTCGCAGACAGAATCCCGATGTGCGAGCGCGCGAGGCAAGGGACATCACAAGCCATCCATCGTCTAAGAACAAATAAAAGTTGATTTCTGTATATACACACACAGCGTTTCTCACGTCTTTACATGATGATCGACTGGGCGAATTACACGGAAGATTCACAGTTTACCGATGAATCCCTCCGGAGCTTCGCCCATTCATCATCATTCACCCCGTGAATATGCCGTAATTTTT